ATTCCCTCCAAAGCAGCTCTGCAGGACGAACACCTCGTGTCATGTCAGTGGAAGCAACCCCACGAGCCCATTTTGGCAGGGAGCTGCCTGCACCACTGTCTGTTGGCAAAGGGCCAAGGTCCCTCTGGACTCTACCAATGCTCTGCTTTGTTTGCAACACCAAACAGCTCACCCATAGCAACAGCTAGTTTGAGGGCTATTCATTTCTGTGCCCAGCCTACGACACAAGCACATCCAGGGGAACGGAGTCACTGACAGAACAGTTGTTCCAGGCTCAGAAAAATCACTTCTGTTCTGTAGTGTAGCTGGGACCATAACCGCATCTCCCTCCCACTGAGCACGCTGAGTGGGTAAATTCCCCTTGACACTAGACAATGCAGCTGTGCTTAGTCATGTTATGAGCAGATGGGATCCCCTGGTACCTGCAGTGTCTTTTCATGACAAAAGGGCCCAGTACAGCTCTTGTACATTAAATTCACACCCTAGTTCATTTCATAAGCACTTCCTCGTGTAGCCCAGCATTAGAAACTAACCATAGGCCAAGCTTGGTGTAGGGTAACTGCTCAGCTCTCTCACACAGACACTCCGTAATGTCTATTTGACTCACTTGGATACTCAAACAAAGAAACACCCAAAGGGATTTTTGTCCATGTTACCTAACTCATCAAGAATGCCACCATCCAGAAGGGCAGCGAGGAGTGAGAGACGAGCAATGGGATGAATCCCATTGGACAGTAATGTGGCAAGGCCGTGAGCGCTACATCTCTGTGGAACTGCTTTTGCAGCAGACAGAAGGGGTAAATGAGTGAAGAAGCTCCCGACAAGGGCACGACCCCATCTAGGAGCCAATGCCAGAGATAAACAAGCATTAGGAAGCAGAGACGCTCCAAGGAGATGCCATATCTAGAGTATAAGGAAGAACAGCAGACGTTGTCCATTCCTTTCCCATGTTTGCCCCCCGCCCCGACTGACTGACACATCATCTTAGCCAAGAGCCCATCCAGCACAAGTATCCCTGCTTCCTCTGCATTCACATCTCTGGCAAGACACTGAACTAGCCTCTGAGTTATGAGACTGGCTTGCCTGGATACGTGTTTGCTAAGAAGGCAGGAAAACCAGCCTCCAGTTAGTTATCACTGCTACTCTCTCTGCAGGGTTCCATTTTACATACATGCCTTACCAGACAGCTGTAGCATTATCTAGAGTTGGATAAGCAAGCCACTGTTGTTGGCTCTGGCTGGAATTTCACCCTGGCTTCAATAAACACCATTCAGAAAGAAACCTGGCTCAGAATCTCCCCACTGTGAAAGATCAAACTAAATTTACATGGGCTGCTCCCTCCTCCAGAAAGTCAGTCACTCAGTTTGTTGTATTAATAAAGAAGAGTATTAATTTAATTTATCAGAAGTTCTTCCTGACTAGCTCAGAATGACCATTCTGAGTTTGTTACAATGATCTGTGAACCCATCTGAAGTGGTGGCATTTTAATCTGAAACTGTATTAAAAAGTAACCTACAAGTGTACATGAAACCTTTCTAGCAAGTGATCACACCTGGTCTGATATAGCTATGAAAGATATTTACTGTTTTATAAACACTGGAAAGGGCTAAAATAATTACAAGTTAGTGTGTAGCTTTTCACAGGAAACCCATACATACGGCAGCCCTTTTTACTTCCACTGAGAAGAGATTTTGGTAATCGACCTGAAGGAGACAACTGCTTTGCACAGGGCATTCACAGTATATACTGAAATCTGGAACCAAAGTACAAAGCCACATTACAACACCTGATTGGGTTTTTTAATTTACACTGTGCATAATACTGACATTTAGGATGAATAATCTGTCTCGTGCAAGCATGCACGAATAGATTCAAATCCTCAACCTTAATGCTAAACATCATCCTCAGATTCCCTACTATAATCTATAAACTTAATTTCCCCCTCATCACAAACTGCATTTGTGCTCAGCTTAAGCCCTCAGAAGCAGCAGGTTGGAGACTGATGCCCAAGGGGATATTTTTACACTAATGCATAACACAGCCGTAATCTGTGGCAGTCAAAGGACTAAGATTACAGAAAGGTGAGGTTTTCTGAGCTTAATTATTTAAACTGAAAGGTAAGCGAACCCCGGCCAGCTCTGTGAGCCCCCACATCAGGCTACTCGTGCAGAGCAGTTGCAGAAGTGTTTATGTTAAAGATGTAACGAACCATCCGGAAGTCAGATACAGGAACTGCTTTGTGCATGAATCCAAATGCTAATTAGCAAACTAATATCCTTCCAGCTGCATGTGAGTGGAGAAAGGATGGGGGATTCCACAAGCCAGTTACATTAACCTCTTTGCACTGGCATCCTGGTGCCAGGCACTAATGCCAGAGGAAATATCAGGGACATACTGTATTCCTGAGAAGCATCCCAGATCAGCCTGAATTTTAGCCAAGTATCGCCACTCAACAAGTTCGTTACATCTCCACTATCTACATCTGAACGGGTCGGCTTATTCAACGTCAAGAAAACCACTGCTGGCAGGTGAAGCCATTTGTTCAAACAACTCAAATCGCTATTGTTGTATAATGAAAAAAAGCAAAAAACAAGAGTGGTTTTGTTACAGTTAATCCTTCATTCAGTTCACTTAGGTGGGCCCCTAGGGGCTGATGAAGATCTGAGGAGCTCTGGCAGTTCCCTGGAGCAAGGCGCAGCTCTGTATTCTCTGGTCTTCATTCGGAGTAGTGCATGATGGACTCCACATAGTTCCCTGGGAAGAGCCCTGTCACTCCATTCATGACACCCTCATACCACCCATCATCGTTCTTCTTAATGACGTAAATAATGGCACCTTCCTGAAACGAGAGCTCGTCCTCCTTGTCTTTTGTGTAGTCATAGATCGCCACAACTAGGCAAGGCAGGAGAGAAAGAGAAGAGAAAATGAGCATTGACTAAGGAACGGTACTGGTGGGAAAAGGAAAACATGCAACTGTAATGGCCACATCACCCTTTCTGGAATTTGCTCCCCACCCACTCCACAAATCCCTTCCAAATTGATGATGTTTTGTTTGATTTAATCCCCATTGACTGAACTTGGGCTGTTCCCATCATGTATCTAAAAACTCAATGATTTGTGACTGCTGGTCTTCCAGATCCACCACACAGTGGATAAACACAGTAGAATTAAAAGAAGTTTGGTTTGGATCCACACTGGTGCAGATAGAGCTTCCTACCTGCAAAGCTACTTATGCTACCAAATGCTAGTAAACTATTTCTGATTTTCAGAGGTCAGTAAAACGCAAACTAATGACCTGTCCAAACACAGGCTGAAAAAGGGAACAAAGAGCACTGCAATGAGGTCTGGAAGGGGAAATAATTCCAAGAGAAATTTTCAACTGTCATAGGAAAGGAATTTAGGGAAAGTAGGAGCTCTGGATTTCCATGTAAACTTGGTCCCAAATAAATTCCAGTCTGTGAAGGAATAGGTGCAGCCCCAGCTCAGGGACTCCGGTGCCAAGAAAAATTAGCCAAATCTTAATCAGATAACTCTTTCTGGAAAAGCAGCCTGCCCCTGTCGGAGTTTGGACCAGAGTGGTCCAGTAGCCACCCTATCAGCTCCCGTAAGTTCCCTGTTAGGTATGCAGCAGGGCAGCTGCCCTCACCCAAATGCCATGCTGCTCCTGTCCTCTACCTTGGAGCTGCCCAGGAAGCCTCCTGCTTGCTGTGCAGGGAGGAACGGGGAATGAAAAGGCAGAGATGTGCTGATGTCAGGATACCTCCTCTACTTGCCCCCATCGAGGCCCCCCACACCGTCCCCTATTCTTCATGCCACTGCCACGCGTCCACTGCATTTCCTCCCTCCTGCCTCAGTCCATGCTGCCTCTAGAGCAGGAGGCTACAACAACAACAACAACAACAGGTTAACCTCTCTCAGCTCAGCTGAGTGCTAGTTCATCATTTAATAGCAAGACATTCCCTGGGAAATAGTCCACCCTCTGACTCCACCACCTCAGCCAAGCTTACAATGATCATTGTTGTGGATAATATTACATTGTTTACAGCTCTTTAAAACATACACTATCTACGGATATACTGCCTGTTGTCTGCTGAAAAAACTCCCCCTGGAACTTAACATTCATTTACATAAATTCTTATGGGGAAATTGGATTCACTTAATATCATTTTGCTTAAAGTAGCATTTTTCAAGAACATAATGACAACTAGGGATGTCAACGTGTAGTCGACTACACAATCAACCGATAAGCACCCCCCCCCCCCCACACACTAACACACGTTGACAGAGGCAGCAAGGTGGAGGGGATGGAGACGAGAGCTGGTGCCCATGGGGAGACAGCTGCCCACAACCATGCTGCCTTAGCAGCAAAAGAACTGGAAAGCAGCAGCTACTGTCCAGGAGCTCAGCTCTGAAGGCAGAGCCACCCAGAAGGCTGGGCTGGTGTGGCTTGGTATGGCATTGCTAGTCTTATATCTGCTGCTGCTGGTAGGGTGACCTGTACTGGTCCTAGCCTGAAGAAAAAACACCCCACCTAGTCTCACAAAAGGAAGTGCTGTGGAGAGATTTAACCTTCCAGAAAAAGCTCAACACTCCATGGCAGGTGCGCCATGGGCAATAATGGGCATCCCCACTCCAGACACTCCTCTATAACGTAATGATTTCCATCAATGGCTTATTTTCCTGCCCTTCCTCAGGGAAATAAGGCTGGCACGAATAAACTGAAGCAATGTTTATCAAACAAGAGCGTCTGTGTGCATCGATAGAATGTTGCCAATCAGACCCGTGGAAAGGTCACTAAGTAGGGTTGCCAGGTGTCCGGTTTTGAACCAGACAGCCTAGTATTTGAGCTTTCTGTTCGGGAAACAAACTGAGAAAATAGAAATGTCCGGTGTTTTCTAAATAAGCTGTAATGTAAATTGTGATGTAATGTCAAGCGTGTCCAGTATTTTTGTTGAAACCATCTGACAACCCTATCATTAAGTAGAGCAATGCATGCAAATACTCTGCAAGTCGGATATTGTATCTGGCAAGTTGTCTCAGCCTGCCATTAAAGTCTGTGTGCTTCATGAACCACATACTTGTGGCAGGTAGGAAGGAAAAGAGACAGCAGTTTTGCCAGTCTGCTGGGACTGTGTGGCAGAGATTTAACCTTTTGAAAGTCACCAAACACCGTGTGCTGTGTTCAGCATACCAAATCAACTTACGGAAGGCCTGGTCAGTGCTGTCACCACAGCAGTGCCGTACATTGCCCTAGGAACTGTGGGAACAGATCTCTCTCAAAGTGAGGCGAGAGCTACACTTTCCCCCAGACAAACCCAACGGTAGAATGTACAATGACTACTAAAATCTGCCCTTGTCACTGGAGGTCTGGTCAGCCAACATCAAAAATGTCCAATGTCCATGGCTCAGACAAAAACCAAATCTGCAGTAGCACAAGCTGCTCCACACTTTCTAACTTCACTATATTTTATCCACCATTAGGGGAGATCTGGGATTGGGTTTATCCATCAGTTTCTCCTGAAACCGCTGAAGCTATCAAGAGTTCCTACATATACAGTTAACCACAAAATGGAATGGTGACTGGCACCAAGGAACCCTTTAATAACCTCACATCTGAACATTTTCTGCTGAGAGACACACTGCTTTTTAACTGTTCACAAAATCCAGCAGTCCAAAAGAGACTAGGGATTGCATATTGCTTGAGGGAAAATACAGAAGCTACCTCATGGAAGAGAAGCCAAAGCAGAATAGCTTGAAAGGTCTTGATCTATACAAATTTTATGTCTGGGCACACAGCTAATGCCAGCTATGTGGCTAAAGAAGCTTGCCTTCCAAAGTCCCACTTCTCTAATAATACTTTGCTGAAACCTAAAACTTTTCCTAAACATATGTCTGTCAAAGTAACATGCAAAATTTCAGACAGGTCTTTTTTTTTTTTTTTTTTTTAAAGGGATCAAAGGGAGGTTAAAACTAGAGTTATAATAGGAACCCATTTGCAGCCTTTCCAATAGCATCATTACTGAGACTCAAACACATCAAGGGGCAGGAAGGAGGAAGAAAAGCTATTTAGGCTAACGTAACAAAAACAAATGAGCATAATTGGCCATAAATACATCCAATCTGGAAAATAGAGGGTTTCTAACTACAAGAAGTGACATTCTGTAGCAGCTTTACAATGGGAGTAATGGGGACAGGCACTGGCAACCTAAAACTAGTTTTATGAATAAACTTGATACATTTATTAACAGGACTGTATGATAAAAGCAGGGGACCAGACCAGGAAGTCCCTTCTCTGCCCTACGTTCCTGATAACCTTGAAGAAGTTAAGGTTTTTAAAACCTCTAGAACTGATCATACCAAACTCTCTCGCTCTCTTTAAACATACCCTTTTCTAAATAAGTCCTTGGAGCCCATGGAGGGTCCTCTTCAGCATAAGGATCACTGTATTCAACCACAGCTGCCTCCTCCTCTTCATAATCTTCTGGGGGTGGAGGTGGAGGTGGGGACTCATCAAAGACTGGCTCATCTACAGGTGGAGGAGGGGGGGGAGTATCTGAAACTAAAAATAAACAACAAGAGCAGCATGAAGCACTTTCTAGACCTACAGTACCAGATTAAAGCAGTGGTCATGGGGACCTAACGCCAGAACATAGGAAGAGAAATACACTAAGTTGGGGAGGAAATGGTTCCCTCCACCCCCATTGTATTTAAAATTCATCAGCAAAACAATAAAAAGCAGGATTCTGGCTGCTTCCAGCCAACATTTTTCCACACCGAAGACCATCCCCAATCATAGGACGATGAAGAAGCAAACTTACTATTTTCTTGAACTCTGGCCACAAACCCCATCAATGGTAACTGTGGAGTTACCTGTAGGATGGAAGGAGGAGGAGGAGCAAGGGATACTGCAGCAAAGGAGCAAAAAATACAGATAAATTAGAAATAAAAGCAGGCAAACAGGAAAGTAGGGCTATCCATCATTCAGGCACGACAGCACTTTAAAAAGAAATGTGACAAAAAGGCTGATGTCCAAAAAAGTTTTAAGAGCTTTAAGAATCTAAATACACTTGAACCTCTTTAACCCGGCAGACCTGGGAAACAGGGTATGCAGTCTTGAAGATTTTGCCAGTCCAGGGAGGACGCTGTAGGGTCTCCTGCTGTATAAGGGGTGCTGCCCACTCTCCCAGCACTACCACGTGCTCCCTGCCTCTCCCAGGCACCGCCTCCTGCCGCTATGGGAGCAGCAGAGAAAAGCCTCATGAAAGGTGGGTCTTCATGCTGCCATTCCTCCACCTGTGGGAAAGAGCAGGCCGCACACAGAGCCGCTTCCTCCTCGGTGCCACAGTGTTCTTGGATTCAGGACACCGGGAGTATGGAGGTTTAAGTGCATCACACGCAGCAAGTTTTATTTCTCTCACAGCTCTATGTGAAAATTCCCATGCCAGCTCCTTCTCATCACACCACAAATTCAATTAAAGGACTTGTTTCATCTAACTACTCTTGAACTCAGGTTTTCTTGGCGTACAATGTAAAACTTTATGAAAAGCTCTAACAAAATACAAGAGTGTTTTCTGTTTTGATCAACAACATGTAATATTGATTTGTTGATACTGTTGGGATAACCATGCCGGTCTGAGGATATTAGTGCGACAAGGTGGGTGAGGTAATATTTTCTATCAGACCAAATTCTCTTGGTGAAAAACAAGCTTTCCTGCCCAGAGAACTGAAGAAAACGTCTATGTAAGCTTGAAAGCTTTTCTCATCTATCAAAAGAAATTGGTCCAATAAAAAACATTAGCTCCTCCAGTTTGTGTGTCTAACACAGCATCTCCAAACCGCGGGATGCACCCCACAGAGGAGCACAGAAGAACGAGTGAGAGGGTGCAGTGGGGCCTAGGACAACACCTATGGGGCAGGGAGGGTGCACCATGCAGCCACCCTCTGCCCCCAGTTCCCACGTCCAAGCCCAACTCTGCCCTCATTCCCTCTCCATCCCCAGGCCCTCTCTGCCTCTAGCCCCTGCCCCATTCAGGCCTCAACCCAAACAGAGACCTGTCAGGAACTCATCGGGAGGACCCCTCCTGACTGACAAGTTAGGGCTAACGTTTTATGAGCTTGCTTTATATGAAACTTTCCAAAGAGTAAGATGGATTTATCTGGGATTCTGGTGCCATTGGGACTGTGCACCTCAGTCCCTTTGACCAAGCCTTCCCAGAGCTGAGCTGATCTCAGATGTCTGTATTACTCTGCTGTGGGAGACTGGAGAGTCTGGCTCAGTAGGACAGGGTGGTGGGGCTCCCAGAGGGCAGGCTCAATGGCATTTCAGCACATCAAGTGACCGTTTCAAGGGGATGTCTGTAACTAAACCTGTTCTTCCCACACTTACATTAGGGCTTAGCAGCCGCTATGGTCTCCCATCCTACCAATGTTTCCTCCTTTTACCTAGGAAGACCACAGCCCGCATTTCTCATATGCCCTACTCTTGGAGTCTAATGTTGTGAGTCCAAGGGCTCCCTTTCCCTTCCTGGGGGTCCAGATACACAAAGCCTGCCTTTGTCCCACTCGAATACAGCTAAGATTCCACATTCTGCCTGGATATTGACTTAGAAAACATCAGCTCCTTATTTCTGCTGTGTCAAGTGTCTCTGCCACAGAAGTATTTTCTTTGTGATTTACAGTTCAAGCAAATAATCCTTTTAATCTTTATTTTATTCTTGGGTAAACAGACTGAATTATGATTACATAACTTACTTACAGACTATTTGGCATCTTTTGTAACTTCCAAAGGACATTTCATTAAAAACAGAAATGCAGGACAGTGGTCATGTACACACTGAATATACTGAAAACCCTCCTTATTTCAAAAGTAATCTTAAAGGCATTTCTTTTTAGTTATAGCTGAAACTATTTCCTATGCCTTCTCCCTCTATCTTTTTTCACCCTTCAACATGCATACAAATATACTTTACAAACACTATAACTCAAGAAGCTAGTATAATTTAGTCATGAATCTTTCTCCCGCCACCCACCACTACCAGATGTTCCTCCTGAATTCAAATACATGTCTCTTGAGGCTAGCTGGCAACTAGAGATAAAATGATATGCTTGAGTCTGACCAAATCCCCGAGGCCAGATGCTGGGATCTGAGCACAATTCCAGGTTAAGTGTAAAACGTAAAACAATAGAATAGCAGCACTGCACTGTCTGCCTGTTAACATTCTATCTTGCTTTAGTATAAGAAATCTAAAAACAAATTATCTTCAAATATTCCTATTGATTCTCTCTGCATCTTCTGAATAAAGGAATATCTGTTCAGAATCCAAACTTCTTCCATCTCCATTATTGCTAAAGCACCTTTTCAAACCAGAAATGGGGGCAAGAGTCCTGGCTCTATGAATGGCCAACAGTTTTCTACTCAGATTCAGAACATGTCACTTCTTGCTAAGCCTCACAACTGAGCAGATAAGAAGGGCCACCATTTAGAGTAACACCATTACAGACTTACACTACTACTCCTCTGAGACCACGTATGAACTTTGACTCTTGTGACAGAGCTCTTCCTACCTGCCATATCTAGTACCAATGGCATCCTGACCCTAGATGCCTGATTAAATATACTTCCATAGGAAGGTCCTCCTCCTACATTGACCGTTATTCTGGAGAGAAACACACAAATCACCCTGTTGACATCATGGGGAATCAGGGTTTGAATAGTTCATTAAGACCAAACACTGAACCCACATCAGGACTGGAACAACAGAGATACTGCAGATCAAGAATGAGGTTTACTGGCGGAGCTGTGCAACAGGGATTGTGAAGTCAGACACTTGTGAAGAGAAGTCTTGTGAAGGCAGACACTTATTTTATAAACTCGCTTAAATTAAAAACAAACAAACTATTCTAGTCTGTTTGCATTAATGGGAACTGAACACCTTATATGTGGGAAAAAAGCTTTACTGGGGCTACCGATACTGTATTAGATAACACTTAAGGCAGCACGCAAAATCTATTGTGGGAAAAAAGGCAATTTTCGACAGATTTCACAGCTCTGAAGTGATGAGCTACACTTTGGTTCTTTGCATTGGCTGTCCTGAAGTAACTCTCTTACCTGGGTTCTGGCTATAAAAAGGTCCTCCATTCATCTGGTTCTGAAGACTTGTTTGTGAAGTGATGGAAGGAGGGCGCCTGTATGGCAAAGAGCCCCCTATTGTTGGAGGGGTGTGTCGGGATGCAGGTCTGTTCATGCTGTAGAACTGAACAGGGTGGCCTGGGTTAAAAAGAAAGATGTGTTAGCAAAGAGAAAAGGTTGAAGTCTGGTTTTTTTATGGCTACATTCAAGACTTATCCCCAAGGACTGGATTTAAAAAAAAAAAAAAAAAAAAAACAGTAAGGCTGCATCTTAAGAGCATTCAGACAGTTCAGTTGCCAGATTAGCTGAACTCTGAATATCAGATAATACTGACACAAGGAAAAGAAACTCTTACTAAACTGCTATACTTAGCACCACCAGCAAAAGCAAATACAAAAATTAAAAACTTTAGATTTAAAATGTTAGAATTGGAGGACCCTGTTTCCAGTGAGTAGTAAATATAATGCTTCATAATAACTGAACTAGAACTTTCATTCACAAATTAGGTAGAGATGCCTCATGTGATTGTGAACTATCCACGTGTCCAAATCACTCACAAGGTAATTCAAATGAAAGTCAACTCTAGGTATCACAAAGACGATGAAAGAACACAGGCATAGCAGCTGCATTGCAGCCAGAGCTCTCAGGAAACATAGCGACGATCCTTTCTGGGGAATGGAAAAGAATGAACAGTTCAGGCAAAGTATAGGAATCTAGAACAATGCTCCAAGGTTTTAGAAAAAGCATATCAACCCCTTCAAAACTACCTCTTTATTCCAACTAATATGAATACTGCCACACACAGTAATTTCTATATCAAGTAAATAGTGTACAGTATGTTTATCTTAACTTATGCCATAGAAATCACAACTAGAAGACTAGTAATTTAACTTGACTATCATTTTCATCATACTTGAACCATTAGAACATAAGAACGGCCGTACTGGGTCAGACCAAAGGTCCATCTAGCCCAGTAGCCTGTCTGCCGACAGTGGCCAGCACCAGGTGACCCAGAGGAGGAGGACCTAAGACAATGATCAAGTGATTTGTCTCCTGCCATCCTTCTCCAGCCTCTGACAAACAGAGGCCAGGGACACCATTTCTATCCCCTAGCTAATAGCCTTTTATGGACCTAACTCTGTTTTAGTATCATAAACCATGATGTTAAGCTACTATACTAAGCTCCAAAGCACACTATTGACACTCAAAAAACCACAAGAGTGCAGTTTAAGACCTAGAAACCTATAACATTTTTCATTCACCAGTGCATCAAAACCTGTAAATCAATACAACTTCTGGCTGATCAATGTCATCTTCTAACTGAACAAATACTTTAGACATGACAATTTGTTGCCACTGAAATTCATCACTGCTCAGGTGATTCTACAGCAGTGTTTCTTAAACTTGTTAAGACTGAGGAACAGTATTTTTTTCTTTAATGAGGAACACCAAGGATTTTTCTGATGGGGGGGAGGGGGGAATGATCAAAAAAAAGGTTGCCTGCTCCTTTACGGACGGCCATTTTGAATTATGTTATTCTCCGTGGCACACCTCCGACAACCTCAGTTTAAGAAACACTGCTCTATATTTATTATAAGAATTCTTATACATGAGATAAGGAAATATTGATAAATGTTTAATTTAACCCTTTAACTAAGCACAAGTAGAATGTTTTGTGGTACTTTACAAAATTTCTAAATAAGCCTAAATATAGACCAAAATTATTAAACATCTGAAGCAATACAGATCTAGTACTCAGAAGCAAAAACCTTTACAACTGGCTATTACAATCACATGCAAGCAATTTCTGATGCATAAAACAGACCTTTACAGAACAATACTACATCCAAAATCAAACAAAACTCAATATATGCTAGTCTGACATTAATTGCAATTTCAGCAATTAAAAAAATGAAAAATGCAGACAGACTTTACAAATGTTAAAAATGCAAACTTTAGTACATGCTAAGGCTGTAAAAGGTCGATCAGTTAACTGGTTACTCAGTAAGCATGACTCCTAGCAGGTGATGCTTACTAGGTAAATGGTTAATTGGCAGACCAGCTGGGCTGGAGCAGCCCCCAAACCAATGCAAGCAGGGGGCTGCCTCACCACACCACAGGGCAGGGCTCACACAGGATGCTCCAGCCTGGCCGGGCTCACTGGTTAACTTTTTTAATGGGATTTTACATCTCTAATACATGCAGTGTATATCATCTATTGAACTAAGTGTCTTTTGGCAGACAACGCCTTGACAATTTGTGTATTGAAACTAGGGATGTGAACAGGTGGGGGTGAGGGGGCCAAGAGCACCAGCAGTGGCAGGCTCAAGAAAGTGGCAGCCCTTATGTGGCTGGGGAGAAGAGGAAGTCGGGAGCAACAGTTCCCCCTGGGATCCTGCACTTAATCAGCTAACCAGTTAAACCTAGCATTTAACGAGTTAACTGATTAACAGGCATTTTACATCCCTAATTAAAGCTTCCATTTCACTAGTGAATCAAAACCATATGCCTCTTTTGACACAATTAATGGAAAGGAGAGATGATGATACCTCATGGAGTCAGGTCGCACAAAACCATATATATCACACACTTTATTAGAGGTACCATTTTTAATCCAATGCTGAGATAAAACCAATTACTAGAGGTCAAAAGTTTTGCTGTCTTTATCTCTGAGAGCTCACATTATCCCCAATGCCGCAAACACAATACAGGAATAGTACTTTGAATCTCCTGGAAGAACAGGTGTTTTCTGACAAAACTCATATCCAACAAAACCAAACCAGGAAAAGGCATAAAGATCAACAACTCCTAAGGGTCTCTGAAAAGCTTCAGATTGTGTTCACATCTCGGTTCACCTGTCTATGAAATGGAGCAGACTCACCTGCAGAGGGAGTGGAAGAAACAGCAGGGGGAGTTGGAGAGGTGAAGCCATCAGCAAGAGGCTGAGCTCCTGCAGCAGCAGCAGCATCTGGGGCAGTGGAGGGGGCAGTAGCAGGAGCAAGAGGGGCAGGGGCAGGTGCAGAGGTAGGAGGAAGGGAAGAAGTGCCAGCTGAGCCAGCAGGGGCTATGTGAAAAGAGGAGGAAGAAGTGGAATTAATCAGGAGATCAGGTTAGCAAGGATTAGAAAAGCCTTCTGACAATTTGGTGTTAAATATTCAGTAAACGTTAAACATTCTAGCACAAAAAGTAGGATGAGGGGGAAAAAATGAAGCTTATGTTAGAGAAGCATTCCAATATATGCAACTAATAAGGGTCAAGAAATGAACTACAGATGTAGAAATCAACCTCTGTAATTCTTAATGAAAGTCATTACTTTAAGACAGACTACTTTCCCCCTTTGTTTATTAGTTTCTTTCTGATCTGTAGCACCAAACATTGTAGCTTTTGTACAATATTAAACATATAGCAGAGGAAAGCCATCAGCTTCCCATAGCAATTTTTGGCACAGAAATATATTTTTTCAGAACACAATTTATGCCAAATAGTTTTTTTCATTTATTGAGAAGGAAGCACACAGAAAATCTCAAAACCACACAAGGAAAATGTGACTACAAATGAGAGTACAAATGTTATTTTCTGGGAACCCAAAGTGTTTGACAGTCTGCTTTTTCCATGATACTGTACTCTGTTTTCATGAGAATTCTACAGGTTTACTTTACTGTGTCCTTGACTTAAAAAATAAAACTAAGCTTCTAATAAACTTCTAGATACCTGAATGAACAGAAAGCAAATGAAAGGCCATTTATCGGTAAAAAGACTGAGAGACATGGTTTAAATGAATCAACAGTTTTGATTAACCAATTGACATAAAAGGCAGGCAGACAGGCAAATACCAGTATACCAAACATTTCCACACTAAAAGAATATCATTGTATCCACATTTTTAATTATTAGCATAAAAATGTTAATGTCTCTGGAAAATTTGACTCAAAAACTGTCGGCGTTTGCAAGACTCTACATTAAGACAGTAAATAAACTAAAACATTAGAAACTGGACAGAAAGAGAGGAATAGAAGATTCCCATTTACCTGGGTAGACACTAGGAGGAGATGGAGTGGGAACAGCAATGGGCACACCCACACTTCCACTTCCACTGTTCTCTCGACTGCTGCTCCGACTACTTGGGTGGCTCCCTCCACTACTCCCACTGCTGCTATTGAAACCAAAACCATCAAGACATCAATATTCTGGTTCATAGAGAAAATGCACAAAAACCGAACAATAGAAACTTGTACTTCACACTAATAACTGGGAGAAATAAAGAACTGAAACTGATATTACAAAAATAATTCTTCACAACAAAATTTAGATTTGATCAAACACAATCATTCATTTGCCACTAGTAATCTAACAAGCATGTATGGCATTTTGAAAGATGAATTAAATGATATCATTGCAATACATCTTTGCTGAATGGAAATAGAAAGTTTTTGTACAGATTTTATAAAGCATATATTTCAGCAAGACTCTACAAAATATGCTTCTACCTTAAGTATTGTTGAGCGTAGAAAAGTTAAATCTATCAATATTTCCTGCATTAAATAGAATTAGAATATTCTTATTTAGAATAGATATGGTGTTCTATTTGGCCAGCCTCCTTTTAAAGAAGAATTTAACATTTCAAGAGAGACTATTTTAGCCCTCAGGTAGCATTTTTCACCTCTGACAATTCCTAGGACTTATTAAGTCTTTGAGTGATCTGAGAGATGGGAAGAATATCTTCTGTTGAAACTGTGGTCCAGCTCTGGCTTCAAAGCTAGTGGTTTCCTCATTTATATGCTGTGATTATTTCATTTTTAAATAACAGCTTAGCACCCTTTATCATGAAGTTTCAAGATCTTTTATTTTTCAAAAGACTTTGATTATGAAGCACAAGCAAACCTAACCAATTTGTAGTCCTCCAATCAGCATACCTCATAATTTGCACACACAAAATCTCACCAAACCTTTGTAATTTTAGGCAGTGGTGGGCAACCTGCAGCCCACAACCTGCATGCAGCTCCTCAGAGTTCTATGTGAGGCCCTGCATTCTCCCTCCACTCCAGCCCTACACTTACCTACTCCACCCCTTCCACCCCAGCATTGGGGAGTGCTGTGAATCAGCTGATTTGTGCCCCATGTCACTTCCCCCCACATTCGTCACAGAGCTGAACACTGTGAATCAGCTGATTTGCAGCATTCAAATTCTAGGAGGGAGGGAGACGAGATGAAACGAAACCAGACGGGGCACATAAGCCAATGCATGGCGTTCTGGAAATGCTGGGAGGGAGGGAAAGGAGAAAGGACAGGATGTGCTCAAGGGACGGGGCAGAGAAGAAGCCGGGTGGAGGTTTGAGGGAAGAGGTGGAGTGGGAGCAGGGCCTGCAGTAGAGGGGAAGAGTTGAGCACTCCTGCCAAATGAGAAGTGACACACATATTTAAAGCAAGAACCCATGTGAGGTACATGCTGATTGCACACAACATTGTGAGAAACCCTGCTTCTTTAAGTTACTTTTGCCAGCAATTTAATTTGCCCCCAATAATGGCTCACATTGTGTTGAAAAGGCGTGATAAAGGAGGAGAATCAAGCACAATGTATTTAATCTTATTCTTAGGGTCATGGTTAGTGCACATGCCTGATTTCAATCTTGCAGCCCGCTGAGATGAAGGAGGGCCATGGATGTGGCCTCCTCACTAGCCTTAGTTGCCCACTGCTGGATAAGAGTAATAATGTTGCTAATTTCCTTATTACTAAGACTGTATTTACTACACAATTTTACTAATACAAAAATGTAATTGTGGGATAAGTGAAGTAAATTATATGATGGAATATGCTTGTTTTAATTATGTCCATGTGCCAGTACACAATGGATTTCTCGGCCAATAATGTATTTGTGAGGTTCCATTGCAGGATCTGGGTTTGATTTTAATCACACCAGTACATCTTATATAGATTATTGTATTAGGCCAAAAACCTTCTGTGCAGGAATAGACTGAATACCTGTATGTGCGATTCCTCTGATTCACAGAAGCTGTTCTAACAGGACTCTGTTGTGAAGGAGCCATATTACGTGTTGGGCTAGGAACATAGTCATTTGGTACCACTGGAGGACGCACTGGCTCCAGTGTGCGATAGGGAGAGTGACGCCTGGACAAAAAATGCAATACATACAAAAGCAAATTCAGTCAGAATATAGCACAGCCACAGATCTTTTACAAGTGCAAAATTACAGTTACTTGCAGCAAAATCTAAGGGGCTCAAAAATGGTGTTTGCACACGTCTAATATTCAACTTATGACACGTGAATGTAAGATGGGATTTACGCTCTCCATTTCATAAACAGAAATTTTATTTTCTTGATCTGAATGAGCAGTTGGGGGGGGGGGTCAATTTGCATTTCCACTACTAGATGAAAATAGTCTGCTTACATGTAAATATGACATTTTGAATTTAACACAACAAGCTCTGTTTCAGGACTCGCCATTACATAAACATACACAACAATAATGCAGTAACTGGAATTGCTCCTATTCCTTAGGACCTAATTCAGAAGGACTCCATCATGTGAAGAAAATGTAAAAATTCAGGAATATACAGCTTCACTGGAAAGCACCATATATGCCCAACTTGTGGCACAATATATCAGTTCAGATATTACAGTGGCTACTGCAGATACACTACAACCTGTCAGAAAAAACACACCACTAATTCTGTCTACAACAGATAACACAAGCCAAAACAAATTAAAGGTAGGCTTCCTGAATAAAACTTTTAATGACCTTTATTAAACATAGGCTGCAACACATCACTCAAATTTAAGATGTGGTCAGTACAAAGGATGGTGGTGAAACTTCTCCAAGCCTCCTGTGGTATCATAAAAAACAACATACACTTCCATGGGCTGGAACCCACTTCATCAGATGCATAAAGTGGATCGTGCATCTGACAAAGTGGGCTCCAGCCTACAAAAGCTTATGCTTAAATAAATGTGTTAATCTTTTAAAATGCCATAAGACTCCTCGTAGTTTTTGCTGAAACAGATTAACACAGCTCTGAAACGTGTACTCACCCAATAGTTCCTTTTCCTGACATTGGTGGGCTGGGTGGTTTCTGTGTAGGTGGAGTAGTACGAGGCAGCCCACCCATCTTCATATTCTGTGTACTAACCTGTATGAAAGAATGGAAAGACAAACAGCCTTTACTATATTCAGACTTTAGGCAATAAGATAGCAACCTTCCTTGAAAAATCATTCTATTGTACGAAAGAGGCAGGGAAAGGCTTAAACTGAAAAAGAACTGAGAGGCCATGCATTTCATATGCAACTTCTACTCTGCTAGAGGTTGACAGTTGCACTCAAAGGACTCTTTGTTATGTGAGGTTTTCAAAAATTTGTATATAGAAACTGCATTTGCCTTTAGACCATCTCGTGGATATTACATCTCAGTTGATGTTGGTACTGCATCTAATCCAATTAAAATCCCTTTTTGTAGAGTCACGAAGCAATTTCTTTTTGTTTGTTTGCTTGTTTTCGATAAAAACAGTTATTTCTGGTTGCACTGTAATATTAATTCTGCAATATTTTTTGAGAATAGACTTTTAAAAACCTACAGGATTCAGCAGGGTTACATACTAGGCCACAATACAGTAATTAATGCAACTAAAGAGCAGCTATACTTTAGTAAAATTATTTTTATATTCAAGCTGTGCTCCACTCTCATTTTAAGATTTAATATAAAATTATGCTTTAAAAAGAATACTACAATAGCATAATACTTTCAGATTTATATACCAAAATAATTTAATTAACATTAAAACTACAGATAGTAAAAGTGTAGCCAACTAAATTTATAAGTCTGATCTAAACTAAACCTCTAGCTCACAGAATAGGAAAAAAGAAATCATGAATACTATGATGGGATCTTTCCAGTTTTTTCTTCCTTCAAATATAGTTAGATAAATTAGACACTACAAATTCAAGTTAATATTTTACTATTTAAGTCAGCATCAACACTGATTGATCTCTGTGCTGACTAGCCACATGATTGCTCCTTACCTCATGAATTATAAACATCAAAGCATTTTGTTTTTATTTATTCATCAAGCCATTTAATAGCCCTGTCTGGCTGCAAAAGTTAGACACAGCAGTTAGAGAATTTATGAACATATTTTTGGGAGGATCTATAAAATATCTTTTTAATCTATCAGTCCTAAATCTATTCCACATCATATAAGAACTATCAAATGACTTGTCCTAAATAATGTAAGTTTTAATTATTTGTATATTAGTAATTAAATACTCTTAGTTATAATTATTAAATACTCTTTATACTCCCCTTTTTTTTCCCCTGTTACCTAAGCCATATTGTATTGCACACAGCTATAGTGTATCATTTCCAACATTAATTGTTTCCATATAAGGTGACTTTCTGATAGAAAAGGCTCAGTGATCAAGCTATCAGTGATAATTAATAATATTCTGAAAGGCAAATTACACTCTTTTAATCACTCCAAAAGCCAGGCAGTGTTTATTAAATGACACAGATTATTTAAGGATTACTATTTTGCAGTATACTGACACACTGAAACCTGACACCCATATAGAAGATAAAAACAGAAGATGAAAATCTCAAAGTTATAATTCTTTTAGTTTGGGGAGGGGGAGGAAGAGGAGTTTAAAGAAATTACTATTGATATTTTTCAAATTTTTTAGAAAGTCAAAGTCTCAAATGTTCTGATTATTTTTATAAACATATCTTGCAAGTAGTCCTTTAAGCCAACTTTAAGCAACATGAAAATTAAAGTTACTTTAAGTGAAGGGCTAAGTAAGCACTGAACTACATCAATTTGAGGGGGAGAAGAAAAGTGTATCATGAAAGCAAAGTGCATTTTATTCTATACACGGAACGTGGAAAACACATCCCAAAAGCTGACATTTTTTAAAAGTTGCAGTATCTCATTCATCTCCTTTCATCAAACTTGTTGGTATCACCCGCTTACCTGTATGTTTAAAACAAATATCCTTTATTAATGTTAACCACCTCATGCAGAGGACTTCAGTGGTACATTAAGCTCTATAAGGGCATGTCTACACTATAGTGTTATTTCAAAATAGCTTATGTCGAAATAATGTGTCTACACACAAAATGCATTTCGAAACAGTGTTTTGCTATTTTGAAATAGCGCGTCCACACTGAGTGAACTCTGAATCGCATTTAAGGCTGGCTGGAAACAGTTCCGGCAGGGCACCAGGTCAGGACTTACTGTGTGGGGCTGTGCTTAAAGGGACCTCACCTTGGATAGCCAGTTCTCAGGTTTCCCTGCTTACTTGTCTACCTCAATGAGTGACAGCAAAGCATTTTGTCTGTGTGCGCTCTGGCTGTCCTCACTCTGGACATCACAGCACTCTGCAGCATGGAGCCAGAGTTGCCCCTGGGCACTCTGGTGCTTCTCGTGGACACGTTGCTGAGAGCCTGGCTGCACTTTCTGCAGCCTGCCATCTGGGAGGTCCATCGGGGGGCTGTCAATATTAGGAGGCCCTGCAGGAGAGCTTCCATCCTGAGGAGCACTAAGAGCCTCCCTGGTCTGCCCCACTCAGGGCTTGTGCCTCATTCCTCCCTCACGTCCTTCCACTTACCCCTCCCTAACCCCCCTTCCTGATGTCAAATAAAATTCATGTATTTTCATGAACACAAACTCTCTTTATTTAACAAAACTGGGGAGGACGGGGATGAAACTCTGGTGAGACTGGGGAAAGGAGAAGAGAGGGTGGGAGAGGGGAGGGGGAAACCTGGGAGGAGGGAGCTAGAAGGGGGAAGCAAGGGGAAGAAAGGAGAGAGGAAGCTCAGGGTTGGGGGTCTCGCCGGGCCAACTTGATTGTCATACAAACCTGCTCCTGGGTTCACATGTGGCCTTTGGTGGCCAGGCTGGCAGCTATCCTGCCCTCGATGGCCACTTTCCTGTGCCTAGTGTGGCGGTCATGGATGAGGTCCATGATCTCTGCACTAGACCAGGCGGGCGCCCGCCTCTTGCGGCCCCGAGCAGGCTCCTGGGGGCCCTGGGGAGCAGACAGACTGTTCCAGGGGAGCAGTAGAGGGCTGGCTGCCAGTGGCTTTCTGACTCATGTTTTGGGGCCACTGGGTATGGGGCAGTGACTGCTGGCTCTGGGCTGGCAGGCTTGGAGCTGGCACAGGCACTATGGCCAGAGTCTACACCTTTAAGGGCTTCAGGGGGGAAGGGGCAGGGAGGGAGAGGAGTGTTCTTGGTTGAGGCTGGAGTGGCCACCAGGGCTCCCTGGGAAGGCTGGAGGCCCCCTATTTCGAAATAAGTGTCTACACAGCATTTATTTCAAAAGAGCTATTTCGAATTTGGCGCTATTCCTCGCAGAATGAGGTTTACCAAATTCGAAATAAGTGCTCCGCTTATTTCAAATTTATTTCGAAATAGCGATTTGGCTGTGTAGACACTAGGAAAGTTATTTTGAAATAAGGGCTGTTATTTCAAAATAACTTTCCTGTGTAGATATACCCTAAGAAGGATTTTCCAAAACCTTCAGATGGGGGCAGAGTTAAACCCGTATGAACACTTTCAAAAATTCCATCCTCGATATTTTAAACACCCCCACCCCACACAAAAGTGTCTATTATTTGGGGACACAAAATGCATTATAACCACACCTATAGGATTACACTTAAACGATATGATTAAACCTACTTTAACATATCCTTCAAAGTTTAAAGAAGAAATTACATTACTGTTATTAGTAATAGTGTCTTACAATACTAATAGGTGAAACAAAATATAGGACTATGTAGCACTTTAAAGACTAACAAGATGGTTTATTAGATGATGAGCTTTCGTGGGCCAGACCCACTTCCTCAGATCAAATAATGGAAGAAAATAGTCACAACCATATATATATATCCTTTGGTAATAAACCATCTTGTTAGTCTTTAAAGTGCTACATAGTCCTGTATTTTGTTTCAGCTACACCAGACTAACACGGCTACATTTCTATCACAATACTAATAGGAACTGCAATAATTATTATGCTCCTGTTATAGTAGGAGCTGTACAAATAGAGAATATAGTCCCAGCACCAGAAAAATCATGGTGGGAGTAAGATGGAGAATAAGGTAAAGTGAACAGAGTGTAGCAGAAATTTGGAAATCATGTTTGCTGCTTTCCTAACTATATAGAACTCTCATGATTTTCAAAAGCTTTATCTGTATCACTAAATGATTTACATAACATGGATAAGAAAACTCTTTAGAAAATTTGGCTAAAAATACAGTACAAGAATCGCTTTGTGTTAAGTAGGAACTTAAACGGAGTGACAAAGAAAGGAGACCTTCTTTAAAAAAAAATGAAAGAGGGAGTAATGCAGGTCAGACAGATTAAACTTATGATGACTTTGAAGTTGTAATGCTGAAAGAGAGCACGTAATTAAAGTTTACAGAGCTACTTTACAAATCTGAGAGGGCTCGCTGACTTAAGCTTAGCTATTGTCAATTACACACCTCTGTTTCAACAGTCTCCACTTTGACTTATAGCCAAACAATCAAGAAAAAGCAATGAAAAATAAAAACAGTCTGATTAACATAGACTGACCTTCTATGCTAGAACAGCATGATACAACACACAGAAAAAGTTTTCCAATTATCTTTGGTGAAGAAAAATGGAGACACCCACAAAGTTAGCATAAATTAATAAATTGCATCAGTTCCTTTAAATGTGTGTCAGTACAACCTCTCCTCTCACCTCTTAGAAAGATGCAATTATCAATTTCCATCTTCAAGATTAACAAAACCAAACCACATTTCCTTAAAATTTACCACATTTATATATGTAAATAATAATAGACTCATAGAACCCTAGAGCTGTAAGAGACCTTAGAAGACCATCAACTCCAGCCCCCTGCCCAAGGCAGGACCAATCCCAATTAAATCAACCCAGCCAGGGCTTTGTCAAGCCGAGACTTAAACACCTCTAGGGATGGAGACAACACTACTTCCCTAGGTAACCCATTCCAGTGCTTCACCACCCTCCTAGTGAAATAGTTTTTCCTAACATCCAACCTGGCCCTCTCCCACCACAACTTGAGAATCATTGTTCCTTGTTCTGCCATCCATCACTGCTGTGAACAGCCTTTCTCCATCCTCTTTGGAAC